TGTTCCTTGACAAGCTCATTGAAAGCCTTGGGAACCTCTTCGCACAAACGGTTTGGAAATCTCCTGAGCAGGCGGTTCTTCACTTGGCACAAGATCGAACTTGAGAGGGATCAAGGAGTAAAGGGTCACACGACTTGACAGGGAAAGTGCACGCTTGCTGATACCACTCAGGTGTGCGCTCGGAGCGTACTTTACCCCAAAGCGAGAAGGCTGGATGAAACATGGAGGAACTGGCTGGGCCATCTTGGCGTTGGTTCTATTGGTGACTCCCAGCTCTTTTGCTACCGCATTTCTGATAGACTCTGCCTGAGTAGCTTTAAAAGAGTTGGGTCTCATGACCACAAGTAGGTCCGAATGGAGCAGGTCCCCATGGAGGCCTCCATAAAAGTTTGTCAACCAAAGAGCAGCTGTAGCATGCCGTAGCAACATGTGGCATGTAGCGCCAGAATCAAGTGAACATAAAAGCTACGAGTATGCACCTTGCTACCATCTTCCTACCCATTCCTCCTTGCAGTCTTCGGGTGGCCCAAAGCAATGGCACACAGAATTGACCTGGCAGTTTGGAAGTTGATCAGCCGGTGAAGAGAGCGGCCATGACCCGGTGTGCCTGGCTGATCCTGGAGCAAATCTGGAGCACACCTTCCTACTTGCAGTCTTTCGATGGCTCACCCCACTGGCTCACAGATTGACCTGCAAGTCTCAGAAGCTGAAGAGGGAAGTCGTGAAAGCCAGCGTGCCCGCAGATCCGCGATCAATAATACGGTGGAGAGGTGTGCTTGCTCGCTGCTCACCTCCTCTTGAATGTGTGGTACTTGGATACCTTTGCAACGATACGCCGGCTTCTGAAACGATAGGGGTGAACGCACGTGACCAGGACCAGATTCTGCATTGTCTGCGCCACTGCAGTTGCTTTTAGATGCTCTCTGTGCATAGATAAGCATGCCACTGCAATTGGCATAAACACCTTGAGGTAAACCATGATTCAAGACATACATGGTCCTGTCTGTGCCAGTGTGAACCAGTGCGATTAGATTTCAATGCTGAAGACGAACAGCACAAGTACTTCACTGCACATGTGCCTGGAGCATGCCATTCCGCAAGGCACATGGGTCCAGCACGATTTCACACGAAGCGGCACGAGAAAGGTCAAGGACCCCGTACACCTGCTTAAGCAAAGAAAAACGGGAAGCTACTAGGGCCAGGGTGGAGGCCATCACTACTAGGGTGGAGAAGCCTGTTCATCAACATCATCAACCGTAGCTGTAGGAGGGACCATGACTCTCGACCAACTGGTCATGAATCCTCCATCTCCTGGGCTCCCCGAACTCGTCGCTTGAGCTCCTGAGCTCAGACGGCACGCGAAGTGAAAGGGCCATCAGCAACCCCTACTCCTTCTACCTACAGCCAGCTGCGACAGCTGACTAACACCCGGAGCAAGACAAATGTTGAGGTCTTAAGGGTTGCTGGACGTTCCAACCAAAGTTCGGAAAATGACCCGACGAAAAGAAGCAAGTAACATCAAGTAACATCAAGTATCTAAATCACTTATTTTATCTGATTACAGTAACAGTAACATCATGTAATATTACAGTACTATATATAATATCATACGCCGTGACAGGTTTAGAGTCTCTTTCATCCAGCGGCCGCTTGTGGAGATCCAAAGAACCCCCAAATTCTTCCACTCCAACTGAGACATTATTCGTAAAAGGACTAGTCACTAACCAAAAGCTCCCAAACCGAAACCAACCCTGTCCATCACACTCGGCACCGTGCCTTGCGCACTGGAATGCTGCCTTTCGGCGATGCTGCCTCGCGTAGCGCGGCGAAACCAAGCTGTGGCGAATGCTGTGACGACTGCTGTGAAGTCCACGGAAAAGACCTCAAGGAATCTGCCCAAGCAAATCAACGAGTGAGGGAGAACTCTGTCAGCGAAACGCGCAAGGAACCAAGTTGTAGCAACCTCTTCTTTTGAATCCCCCCTTCGCGAGCCGAGAGCCAAAAGTTTCGGTTCTCCCAGCTGAATGCAGATTGACATGGACCCCGGGTTGTAGAGGAAAAGTGGTTCTGCATGGGTGAATCGTCATGGTCCATCTGGTTCTCCGATCGACCCTGGAACGAGCGAACGAGCGAACGACGCCGTTCTGCACTCCGGCACCGAAACGGGCAGCGGTCGAGAACGACTTGTCCAAAACTTGTCTGAGCATCGGAAAGATGGAACCTTTGGAATGAAAGGAGAAACCTGAGAAACCCAATTGACATGGACATGAATGGCAGTGAAAAAGTAGTCTCAGCAAAAAACTGGTCTATCTCAGAACATGGACCTGTGCAAACTAGCTGGAAGAAGGGAAAGCAAGTGACGTTCCTTCAATGTCGAGCGTCCCGTTCCTTGCTTGCAATGAGTTTTTGCGTGAACATGTTGTGCCATGTCCTCACATGCACAGGGTGTGTGCCCTTGGAAGGCAACCTATGTTTACAGCCGCCCATGGCCCATAATCAGTGATTTAGTCAGAACTAGTCCCACCAAGTACCCTTGTTGCGTTCGGGGATATTATAGAGGTTTAGAGTTGCCGTTGTGCCATTCAATTGGTTAGTGATGGATATATAGCGTAACGTATTCAATTGGTTTCCGATGGATTTTCATGTCCACCAGTTCCTGTGGACTCGATCACCCAAACATCTTCCGAAACCGAACCGTGTCACAAGCCCTGTTTAAGCCGGCGAGGGCCACCGATCACCGGCTTGGGTGGCCTATGTCTGACATGTCTTTTACAGGTCTTTTCTTGGACAAAATGAAAGAAAAGGAAGAACACATGACAACATTGAAACAGATACGTCTACAGAGGTCTTTAAACAGAAAGCAGGAAACTAGAAAGGTCAGGTCTATAATATCAAGAAAACTATGGAAGTCTTACTGTCCTGTTTGTAAAACAAGCGATCAACAAACCTCCAGGCAAGACCAGCGAGACCTTCAGGGCCACCCCTCCAAACCCCGGAGATGATGGATTGGTGGAAAAACCTCTGGAGCCTACCTTTACAGAATACCAATTACTGGCTGACTGGTCACCAAACCACCCCACCTGCGATGGCTTGGCTTTCGCGCTCGCCGCCTTCGCCTTGGCCTGCGAAGGAAGGCGGAAGCGTCGAGTGGGTGACCTATAGGGCCCACTAGAGTGTGCCCAACGGGTTTTGCACCAGCGGAGAACACGGGGGTTTTGCACGGAGTTCTTCTGGGTTAGAAGAAGCCCTGGGTGGTGACGAAGGTAATGATATCACGCCGGAACGCCACTGAAGTGGAACTACTTGGATGGGAGAACTCGCATTTTTGGGTGAAGCATATATACCCTGAATCCCCTCTGAAGCCTTTGCAATTACAAAGCTGGACTCCACGTCTGATCCCCTATCTACCGAAAGTACTGGTCATGACTGGTCTAAAGATGTCCAGTCAGCGCCTGAGCCTGCTGCTTTCTCGCGCCACATCCCGCCCACCCGCCGAAGCCTTTGGGCTGCTCTTTGGAGAAGCCTCGTTCCCGGTGGGGGAGAGAGAGTTAGAGAGAGGTGTAGACACATGCGTGACACGCATGTTTTTGGTGTGTGCATTCGCGCGTGTCACGCGTGTTTTCCAACACGTTGCATGCATGCAGATGGGTCTTAAACAACGGAATTGGTAGATTCAACTTCAAATTGGTGGATTCTTGAACTGCAGGGTCTCCAGGACTCCAGGTCCATCTTCACTTCAACTCAAAAGGCTTCTGACCGACGTGATCGATCCGACGGCATCCTGACTGATCGGGCTTTCGGCGACCGTTTCGAAAACGCGGGGATTCAGTGAAACGGTCGTTTCTAAAAACCTCTTCACCTCTTGGGAATCACTTTTTCTAGAAAAAAACCACCCTATGACATGGATCAACCACGTCCTCACCCCGTTTTTCTGTGAGCTTCTCCACCCCAAACCCGGGCAGCCCACGCGTCTCGGGCCAACTCTAAGAAAGCAGTCGGTGTTGGACCGGAGATCCCCATAGAGCCATGGGTGTGTAGATCCCCCTTACTTGTGCCTTGGCGGTGACACATGGTTCATTTTCTATAGTTTATTTTTTTTGTGGCTATCAAAAGAATAGAATAGAATAGGTGTGATCTATCAATGTTTTTGTTTATAGAATGAACAGCGCATTGTTTTTCTCTTTATGTAATCCACATTCTTATTTTGCTGCCAGAATGTGGCTAACCACTGCTTTCTTTTTTTACATATAATGAGTTTGGCCTTCATCCATGAAGCCTGCTGGCCTCCCTCCTTTGAAGACCAGTCTTTTTATAAGATTACCTATCTCTTCTTGCAAGCACCTTGATTTATGCACTCCAGATAGGCAGCACATTTTGTGCATATAGAATGACCTGAGTTAGGCCATTTTATAAGGGAAACACATGTTTATTTTATATGCAAACAGGTGTGAGTGGAGGATGTGTGTAGCTTCATAAAACCCCCTCCAACCAATGGGTTGTGGTCGGTCTTCCTTCTTCCAGGGCATCGTCGAAATGGAAGGTCTCCCTATTTGAGCTATACGCCCAAATATATTCAAAATGGTACACCCAACTTATGCCCATAAGATGGTTTGATACAGCATGATCCTCGCGCCATTCTGTGCCTGGCTCGGCCGAGGAGACTCCTGCCGTGAGCCGTCCACCCGATGCGCCAAGAGTCTTTCTGCGTCAAAAAGTCAGAGCCGGAAGGACTTCCAATGTTAGAAAGTTTTTTCAGTTTGTTGGATAAATGCTTCCAATCTTAGGACTTTCTAAGGCAAATTATTAATTCGATGATTGGTTGATATTAGATTCATTCTGAGCACCGGGCTTAGGACTGAAGCTGATCGCCACTTCGGACCCGAAACAGAAGCAAATCGACGGATCGAACGAGACGGATCGAACCCGTTTCGGTCCAACAACACCATCCGAAAGACCACATGAACTCGTTAGAACCATCTTGTTCTCCGTTTTTTTATTTTTAATGACGTGCTACGTAGTCATTGTATCTGATTGTTGCCCGAAACGTGCTAGTAGTCGTTGTTCGAGCAGTTTTGCAAATGTAGGTACTATCCCGCGGCATGCAAGTGGCCCTCACAAAGTGCATGACAAACCCGGCTCGAAAACTGCTGTAGACTCAAGAACCTGGTTGTAGATGGTCAGAAGTGAGTAAGACTTTTGAGATTATTCCTGAATCCCAACAAAACTGAGACCTCCTGGCTTAGGCGGATCCAGTTCATGCACTGACCAAGTTGCACGGTCGCACCCTGTGAAAACATCGGCAAACTTCTCACTTCAGTTTCAATTTTACTGAGATGGGGAGGTCAAAACTTGGAGCCCTGGTCCGCCATGTAGCTTGACCTTCCATGCAGGTCAGCGCAAAGTTTCACCGACTTGCGTATCGGCAGGTGAACCAAGGTATCCTGGTGAAGTGACCCACAGCCAGGTCTCCAAGATCATCGACCCGTTTTTCGCAGGAGACAAACAGCCGAGAGTTCGCCTCTTTCTTCGCCTGGGCTTTACTGGGCGGCTTTGGCGGCTCCTGGAACGCTCTGGGCGGTGTCCTACTGACCGTGAAGAAACAAAATTAAGTAGCTGGATGGGGTGCAGTAGCTTATGAGCATATCACAATATCTTGTTATGTATAAATATACAGTGTATATATATATATATATGCGAAGCTATGGGTTTTTCCCCAGATAGCGAAGCTATGGGGTTCTTACTTCTTAATTCAAATAACAATGAGTTGCCCGTGGTGCTGGGTGCCGGTGTCTTCAGTTCAAAGAGGGGACACCACATGGGGGGTGCAAAGCAAGCACCCCAATGTTTGTAGGCTTCCCATGATCGGTTCAGTTGTTGGACCCCCCAAAGCGGTCGAAGTGCTCAACAACTGGGGCGGACATGAACTAAAAGCTGTTCGAAGTGCTAAACTTGGTAATTCAAACGACTGCATCAAAAAGACCGGGGAGTCCTTCCAAGTGTTTGAGCAACAAAAAAGGGCCCGGTGGATGTTTCGAGACGGCCGTGGGCGGTCTTGCTGCGGTGGCTCTCTGCGTGGTGGGCTCACTTTGGGAGGAGATGCCTCAGAAGCAAGTGCTGCCACCAACGGACTCAATCGCTGCATATAGCTGCGTCTCATGTGCCCTACGTCTGTTTCTATGCTGCGGCACATGACTATCAGGACAATAACAAGGACAACAAGGATTGATTTCCATCAACTCCAAATGCCTCTGACAGTCTGATGCCGTGATGACCCCCGGAATACTGGCCTATTTACTGCCAACTATTTCCCGCAACCTACTTGACCGGCGCCAGGAGATTGGCCTGAAAAAGACAGGACAACAGATTCAACTTGCCAAGAAAAGCAAGTAGCATTCAGCAGACTCGACTCTTCCGTGGGCAATACCCGTGACTTAAGGCGGGCCTTGTTAATGCCACATGAGCGCTGGGCGTTTAGAGGGCGGGCGCACGATAGCTCCACATTATATAACTCAGATTGTATATAAACTTGCATATATAATCAGATACAATATACAACATATTATTAAAGCAATACTGTCCGACAGCTTTGATATTCAGTGTTCTTGTGTGAAGAGTAGGGCCAGGTAGGCCTCTGAAACTTGAAACGGCAGGACAAAAGGGCCAGCTTTGTTGCCTGCGCAACCTTGGGAACCCACCCGAAACAAACAAAGTTAATACAACAAAATACAACTCTTCTGAGCCAGCCAAAGGTGTGACGCAAGATTCGGGTCCCACCTCCCACCTTTCTCTGGGCTGCCCGGCACGCCCTTCCTCACTGGAAGACGACACCTCAAAGCGCAGGACCCGATCGCTCCACCTGACATCCTCCTTTCTTCCTTTCTGCTTGTTTGTTTTTCATTGTGTACAAAAAAGCTGGGGCAATCAGAGGGGGTGTATCCCCGCTCTCACTGAAACGCATTCGCTTCGTTCGTCGATGTCCGGGGTCGCAAGCTGCATGCTTGTTCCTTCGTTCGTTGTCTGTCGTGCCGTGTCACCGTTTCTATGTGACCGTTTCCTGCAGAGAAACCGTTTCGTCATGAAACGGTCACCATGGTGTCATTTCCGTGTTAGATTCTGCAGAGAGACAAAGGCAACAATCAAGTTGGAACGTCATTTGCTTGAACAACTTCCACCACCCTCCCATCTCTCAAGCTTACAGCTCGCGTCTGCCGAACATGAAGCGACCCACTTTGCAAAACAAAGCCCACCTAGCAGTAGCATGGTTTCCATGAAAAGCGATGATCCTCAGCTGAACATTCTGTTTGAATGTTGGCTCAACTTTTCAATATGTTGGGAAGCATGGTCCACATCATTTTCCAGTGCTTCCCCAGGGTCGCTGTAAAGTTTGGAAGGGACGAGACTAAATGGCCTTGCAATGGTTGCGCAGCCGCGCACCGGCGCCTTTTTTGCGATATTGGGATGGGTCATGGCACCTGGAGCTCCTAGCAGCCTGGTAGGTTGACCTGGCTGGTAGGTCAACCAAGGTCTCACCTGCCTTTGACCCACAGCCATATTGTGCAAATCTTGAATACGTTGAACAAGTACATGGCGATGAACTTCGGAGGAAATGGATGTTTTTTTGGATTTCTGTGACCACTTCTGCCATCTTCCCCGGATCGATATGAGCAGGTTGTATCACCGAATGTCTCTCACCGAATCCTCGAAGTTCGATCCATGGCGGAACGTCGGACGGCGATGTTTTCGGCGCCTTCAGCCGCAGCACCTGAGGAGAAGAGGTCACTGGTACAAAGTAAGCAAATGACCTGGGGGTAAACTGGGTAGACATAAATCGGTAAATCATGGTTAAATCCATTGACGCAAATGACGATTAATCGCAAATCAAGATAAATCTGGATACTCTTGCACACACGGTGACCTACGACTCATCTGATCCCCAAAAAATGGGCCGATCGGCAGAAGTGCGAAGAGGTGTGATGAAAAATCACCGAAAATAACAACAAACCACATGATCAGAACGAGTGGCAACCAATGATAACGGTAAAAGGAAGAAAGTACCAGGTAGTCCGCACAGCGTCTTGCAATCAAATCATTAACAAAGGAATACAAAGGAGATACCTGCAACTTGCAATCCGCGGGGGTTGACAAGGGCATACTTGACCAATCTGAATACGGTAGATGTTGGAAAGTGACAGAAGGATCCCCGGTACCGTCGCCTCGTTTTGGCTAAATAATACGGCTTCCAACACAGCGTCGCGCGAAAGGCTCGTTCCATCCACCGGACACCTACGGCGACGGCGGAGCCGGAACCTGGTCGCGATCGAGGTCGTCGCCGGTGGCTCAACGGCTCAGCACGGTTCACCGAGTTCGGGTGGTTTTTGGAATTGGAACATATGTCCAACTGGGGGGGTCTCTTTCGCAACCACCCTAACTGGGTGGTGCTGAAACATGTGTCTTTTCTTGAACACCTCTTCCGCTGAGACTCCCCGGCCCTTCGCTTGGGCTCCGGTTCCTCTGGTTCGGCCGGAGCCGACGCCGGCGGCGCCGGCGCCGACGCCTTGGGCTCTTCTGACTCCGGTGGGGCCTCAATCAAGGCCGTTCAAGCCGAAGAGATCGTAGCGGTGCTGTGCGTTTTCGAAGTTCTTCTGAGACCTGCCCAGTTGGTCTTTGATGAACCATTTATACATCAATGTCAAGCAATGGCATCTTCTTAGTTGCATCAAACATCATCTGGTGGTTGTTGGTTCGTCCCTTTTTGCCGTGAAGCAGGTTTAACAAAATATAGAGATATATGATATATAGAGTCGCGTCGAATGGCTGCGACAGACCTCGTGAAAGAGGTACGCCTGGAGATGTCGAGTGGATGACCCCCTGGTCCTTCGAGGACCGTATACCATCCTGAGGACCTTTGATGGGAACATCGCGTTCGTCTGAACGTCATTTTTCCAAACATGCTTGATCTTTCTTCTTGAAGAAACCCAGCAACTGCGGACCTATTTTTGGATACCCCCTTGACTTGGGAGGATTCATTCTGACATTGCTGAAAAGACCTATTCTTTGCCTCAAGAGAAACGATGCTCCACAGCAAAGACATGCTTGATGATACAGTACAAAACCAAACTGATGATGCTTCACAAAGCCACGGGCGAAGTTAAACAACCTTTCAACCTATTAGTTGCACACTCATCCAGAGGGCCCACGAGACACAACCAACGAAGACCAGTGGACCGGTGGACATCTTCGCTGTGGCTGAGGGTGTTGGTGTGGACGGTCTCGCAACTGTCTCAGATCGTCCGCGCGTCCGACGTCGACGTGTTTTTTAGGACGCTTTCGTCCGACGTGTTCTCGGCGGATGTCTTCAACTTTCACTCGATGTTTAAGCGATATTTGGAGGGCGTATGAGCGTGGAGTTGCTTCGCTTTCATAGCTTCAATGATCATTCTTGCAGGAAGTCCCACACTTTGGTTTTTGGAGGATATCTCGCAGAGGTCTCGCAGAATCTCTGCGTTTTTAGGTATACATCATGTAGTGCGCAGGAAGCAGGCCAGCCGCTGAGAACTGGCTTTGTGCTAATGTACGGACAGCTTCTGGGAACGGGCTTGAAACATCTTGGAACGTCACTTGGCAGTGCATAGCTTGGGAGCCAAGGGCTCGGTACAGCCAAGTACATTTGGCTGCTATAGTACATAGCTCCCTTGCCATAGCTTGGCTGCCAGTGCCACTGCAAATGTGCGTACGTAGCTTGGGAGCTAGAGCGTAGCAGCTTGGCAGTGGCAAGGCACGTTTCTATTACACATGTCACGTGTCCTTGTTGCATCGATGATGTTGCATACCGCGTGTGGCACAATTGGCGATGTCGCCGTGCCATGTGGGCTTAGTGAGGCCTCGGTGGTGAGGCTGTGCCTTGGTGTGGCAAGGCACCCTCTGTGCCATTTGGGGAGCGAAAAGCATCTGTGTGTAAATGCATGCGGTATGTTGCTGGTGAGAGGATCACGCTTGGTGGTGTGCATCACGTTCCAGCCGTCGCGTGTTGCGCACGTGTTGCTGTGATGTACAGGACGCGTGTTGATCTAGATAGGTCATGTCGGGGTCTCTACAATCAGATCTGCTGAAACTTCCAACCCTTTGGTATGCAGCCGGGTACTAACTATTGCAGGAAAAAGGCAAAACTAATGGATTGTCAATACCCCAACTACCAGTTCACAACAACAATAACGACGACAACGACAATGACAACAAGGGCTACACTGCACCCTGTCCACACCACACCGTCCACCACACCCAAGGGCCACACCGGACGCGAGTTGCTCACCAAGCGCAAGCGCTTCCTAGGTCGTGCACGTTCGTGTTGAAAGGCTCACAACGATGGCAGCACGTTCCGATCTGGTGCCCATTATAGTCTCATCGTGTTGAAACGTGGATCTTGGACAGCGAGTGAGCTTGAAACACTGATTGAAGAGTGAGCTCCATTTATATACAGCATATGGTCCACATATATATATATGTATATGTCCATTATATTTTCTTATGGTCCATTTTTCTGGTCACTCTTACCCAGAACTTGGACCATTCTCCCCTGGCCTGGAACCCGAATCTTCGCTCCTTCTGGGTGTGTCCTCACAGTGATGCGGTGCGTGAGTCCGTCCACGAAGCCTGCCCTCCCGTCGTTCGTGATCGGCTGCAGTCGACCGCCACGGATGAAAAGCAAGCGCCCCTGTCGACCATGAAAAACACGGAGCTCTGCCAAAGCACAGAGCCAAAAGAATTAACAAAAACACCGGTTTCAGCTCGGGTTGTGTGAAGAAGTCCCAGCTTCTGCGCTTTACGAGGGTGAACGCTTCCCAACAACAAACGGACAAAATGTTGGAAATGTAAAGGGTTTGGGGTTCAATCCGGGCCAAACACACATTTGAACCTGTGCGAAACCTTTTTTTTCTCTGGCATTGACAAATCCGGGTTTCTATAGAGACCTCACGTTCCCTCAACCCATGCCCAACCCGTATTTCTTTGGTTGTGGTCCACACGGTAGCTCATCCCCTTAACTGCAGGGTGGAGGAAGAGACCTTCCTGTACTGAGGAGGATTGCCATGGGACGATAGGTCGAATATGGTCGAATACCTCAGAAGATCTCAGAAGTAAGAAACAATATGAAGGTCTTGAAGTAACTCTAAAACTCAGTTTGCTCTCTTTACGGTTTACCTATGTTTACCTGCCAAAACCCCCGTCCCCACCGCTTCTCCGCGTTTCTTGTGGGCCGTCGAACCGACCAAAAACGTGCGGCGCTTCGCTCCTCGGAGACCGAGGACGAGGCGGAGGCCTCGTCGTACGGCTGCAAACCGATCCAACGGCAGAGTTGTGTTCCACATGGTGGACTCCGCAGGGTGCGTGCCGGGCATGGGAGGAGTCAACTACGTTGAATGAAAAAAGATAAACGAACAAATGAAAACTACAAGGGCACTCAATGACACCGGGAATGAAAGATGTCACTGTTGCACCCATTGGGGTTCCGGGTGCCGTCATTTACGATGCCAAAAGATCTGGCCCAAGTCGCGTTGGTTGATTTATTCTGAGGTGAGGTCATGTTTATGACAATTGAGCTTAAAATCTGTTCAGTTCATCCAACACTTTAACCATTCAAACAACTGGCGACTTCGGGTGAAAATGAGGAAAGCTCTTCTTCTCCTGGTAATTGAGGGTTGTTGTTTATCACGGGCTTTGGACCATTGGTGACATTGGTGACCAAAATGCAAGTGTTGGTTCAGTTTTTTGCCCCCCCGAGGAACTCCAAAACATTTTGTCACAACTGGTTGAACACAGTAAAACAAGTGCGCCTGCACCAGGATCAGTGTTTGCGTGACCGGCAATGTTGTGCATGGCTGCATGGGTATCAACAGCAAGTCACTTTCCAAGCAGGACATGTCAAAAGTCTCAACGTTGGCAAATCCCACTGTTTTGACATCTTTTCCTGCAGTCTTGCAGGACGATTGGAACTCCCACATCCCTCCAAAAACTTGGCCTCCACCCTCCACCCTGTTAAGGCCTTCGCCTTCGCAGGCTGTGCCAACTCCTTGAAAGATGGACCATTAGAAGCAGAAGAATCGGAAAAGGACAGACCAGGAAGACCAACAAATCCCCAAAGTCATGGGTTTTCTTGGGACCCGAAACAGCGGAGGATAGCCGTGGAGGATCGCCGTGGAGTTTCGGACAACGAGGATCAGCCATGGCCAAGCAAGATTTGCATTACGTCATTGTGCATTACATTGCTACATTATGCTACATTGCTGTGGAAGCCACAAACCCAACCGCCAGGCGAAAGTGAAGCACTCTGTGATCCCGGCCCCAAAAGACACTGTGAGAGCGAAGAACATTGAATACTCGGCGCCGGCCGCTCATGGCGGCGTTGCCATAAAACAGGCGGCCTGTCCCTCCAACCCCCGCACGCAACTCAACACCGAAGCGGTTGCTTTTACCAGCGTATGTGAGGCTCTGAACACCTGTTTCGTCTAATTAAGTAGCGATGCCCTTGCTACTAGTAGTTCCTAGCTACTAGTAGTAATGCCCTTGTTACTAGTAGCGATGCCCTAGTTACTAAAGCGAACTGAGGTGAAGTAAAAAGGTTTGGCAAAAAAAACCGGTCAAACTCTGGGAATCCAAAGAGTCGGATTCCAAGTGCTGACCTCGCTGATCTCCACCCGCAACTTCTCCACGGCCGTGCAAATGGGGTCCGTCTGGCCCGCGACCGGACCGAAAGGACCCGTTCGTTATGGACCGAAGATACACCAAGTTGATACTTCCTCTGGTCCAGAAAGAGCACTAAAACCACTTCTTGTATCTCCGGAACCGAACACCGGACGCAACTTGTTCGTGCAACGTGTGCTCAACATGGAGTTCAGCATGTATGGACCGGACTGTAAATTCTGAGCAACCAAACACAACTTATACGTAATTTATAGGTTTAAAACGCGGAGTGGAAACAAGGTTTTGAGTGTCAAGCGGCGTGTTCAACATGGAAGTGTTGTTCGCTGATCCTCTGGCAAGGGACCCCCACAGAACGCATCAAGGGCATTGTTCTACTGTTTGGCTTGCTTCCACACACGCAAAAAAATACAAAGACGCGTTGCAGCACCGCAGGGCGTTGCGGCGCCCCTATAACGATCCGGCCAAGGTGGTTTGCACGAGTTTGGGTCATGGCTGGCATCATGTGCATCATGAGCTGTACCTGGGGAAAGAGGGGCTATCACCAGTGTAGCTGGGGGGCTTTGCTTGGTGTACCGGCATCCAAAAGCCATCAGTGTAGCTACTTGAAATCGTGGTTTGCTTAGTGTGACGGCGTGTGAACACTTGGCCTGTTAGGGCAAATCCGATCGGGTGGGGATCCCCCTTTGACTCATATAATAAAAGGACCGGATAACCCCACATGATAAGTTTTACAAATTTCAAGATGTGACGTGGACGAGGATGAGAATGGGGAGGGAGGAGGTGTGTGTGTGGTAAGATGGCGTGCGTAGTGAGTGGGTGGGTGAGTGAGTGAGTGAGTGAGTGGAGTGAGTGGAGTGAGTGGAGTGA